CAGATTGCATTTAAAAACATATGAGACGCAGTGAAAAGGAATAAACCTCCACAAATTAGTTTTCTAAAAGTTTAAACTGTTTTAACTTTGCATGGCTTTTTTATACATCTCTTGTGTGATGCGAGTGCAGCAGTCATATTTGTCTGTCTAAAAAATGCGCTGAATTATATCGTGTGCTATATCGAACATTTTTCTATCGTTATCGAAGAAGGTGCACCGTCGATAAATATCGATACCATTTTATCGCCCAGGCCTATACAAGTTTATAGTATATAGAATAGGAGTCCTATCTATCATATGTTGCTGCCTCCATTACTGTGCTATACATTAAATTATTAATAGCCTTTCTTGTTCTGTCCTATCATGCGCAAAAGTATTATAATACAGTATGAAAGGCTCAATTCAGAGCGGCACAAAGCGCTTATGTGCATCCCGTGCGCAGAATGATGCGCTTGAAGCAACACGGAGTCACAGCGCGCAGCGCTCCACATAGAAACGTTTAAAGCAGAAAGAGAAGAGATATTGATGCGTAGTGTATTAAATCTGTTATGTAGTTTATTGAGCCTTTTCTTTTAACAGTTGTAAACTTCATTTACTGTGCACTCTCGGAGAGAGTTTCATCGTCTTGACTGTCGTAACCGAACGCGACACGCAGCTTGAATGCTGTCCGCTCTGTGTGTGTGTGTGTGTGGGGAGACGCTTGCGCCCCGCCTCCACCACAGAGAGCAGACGAGATAACTGAGGCAGCACGATCGAATAAAATGTTGGTGACATTAATTTTTTGTAAAAAATAATATAAATCATTCTTTTTAATTATACCAAAAATTATCACGCTCATTTCCATATATCGTGCGATAAGTCGATATATTGACTATAGCGACAGGCCTACTCAAGTGTCCATCCCGAAACAGAGTGTTATCTTTAGAAACTCTAAAATAACAACAACAAAAAAAAGCTACAATACTTATCCAGGCACTACTATTAACATCATCAATAATAGCCTAAATAATTTTTTCACTGCAGCATCTTCTACCAAACTGTCCATCATCATGGAATCACGGGATACCGCAACTGAAGAAATATGGTGCCGTCACAGTTTCACACAACAGTGCTTGATAAATCAACCCAGTGATAGAATAAGACAGGACAGAAAGCAGGTCACCATCTGCTTGTCTTACCCAGAGTGCTGCACTCTTGTGAAATGGCAGCAGAACAGTTTGCCTCATTGCAGTGATATTAAATCATCATCACCACTATCGACATGATTAGAAAAACAAAATGATCATATCGAGGAGAACCTCTCAGCCTCAACGAATGAAAGCAGATAAAATCTGCAAGTAGCCTATGGAAAATTACAGTCTTTTTACAGGTCACTTCACAGCATTGCCACCCAGAAATGTCATCTATTACGGAGATATTTCTTGAAACTCGCTGTAATCAATCTTTGCACACAAGAAGGTGGTGTTTTCTTCCATATTTCCACCCCACAGACGGGCATAACTACACATTCTGGTTTCATGAGACATCTGAAATGAACCGAAGGGTCCTGTGTACATATGATCCGGATTTCGATTTCAATTGCCATGCCCTTTCAAGCCCCCTATTTCAAAGAAAGCAAGTGGTCAATATCTGCACTTTATATAAAATGCATAGCCCCTGCTTCCTTATGTTACCATGGTAACAGAATCGGGAAGAACGGGACACAGTTTCCTCCTCCTTTGAGTAATAAATTCCCACACCGAAAATCAGGAAAACACATGCAACTACAACCGCTGCTTTATGCTTTCATTATCAAAAACGGCAGCAGCACAAAAAGTGCTATGGACTTTGAATCATTGCAGTGTGGTTTTTCTCGTAAAACTTTAGCGAGGCATGCCTGAGAATCACTATTCACACCAGCTGCTTGAGGAATCACCTCAGACGGGGCGACCACGATGGTTCTTTGAGTTGAGCTATAATGTGACAAACCACACAAAAACAAATGGTGAAAAAAGGACTGTGGGCACTATTTCAATGGTGTGAACATGACAGGAAACGAGGACATAAAACAGCCAGACATTACCAAAACATTTCCTTGTTGCACCTGTCCTTGTTTCATTATGACAGTAAGCAGCAATTCTTTGACCTTAAGCAGCGCAAGTAACACGTCAGAGAGGGAGCAGAGATTTCCAAGAATTCCTTTACAATGCAATGAACATGATTACAGCAAGACTACTGATAGTAAATACTTGAAACCACAACACGGCTCAAATGCTGGTAGTTTGAGAGGTGGAAAAGTTTCATTGTGTTTGTTGTCACATACATGTGTGTCTTTTCCAAAAGCTTCTTGCATTGAAATAAGTATGAAAAGGCTTTTAATATTATAATTTAAAATTCAGCGCATGCTTCACTTGAAATCTCTGTCGGTGCAAAGACCATGGTTTAAAAAAAATTCTGTGAGTAAACATTGAAGTGCTGCAGACTTACAAACGCCATATTTACTGATTTAACGTTTAAAAAAATGTCTAGACTATTCACGTGATATCATTATGATTCTCTGTACTGTTGCCCAGTAATCATCAACAGATTAAAGTCAGAGCATTACAGTATACACATGCTGCTAAAAATAATTTCCCGTACAATTATAAAGATGGACTTACAGAAGGGTAGAAGTCTAAATTAAACATTTCAACAACCGTGCCATTCCACAAAAATGGTGTCTTTTGTGTCAATCAATGTGTGTTGTTATAGCCATTTTTCTTCACATATCAACAACAATCAAGTAACTTTACCTTAAGAGCTTTTTTACCAGATCTGTTTTCCAACTACTCCTTGCTTTATTAGCAATAATGCATATTTTAATCTGGAAAAAATGTCTTGGTAATATTATTTATATTATATAATGTATAGCTATAATAATGTTATTTCGTATTTTAAAACACTGATTAAAAAAAGTCCCTCATTAAATAACACTTCATAAAGGATTTTAACTTAAATTGTCAACCCTGTTATCATGGTTATTATTAAAAACTGATTATTTTAGGCACTGGTCTACACTATATCCCAACACAGTTTTCCCCCATTCAGTTTGACATGGTCGCTATTTCCTAAAATCTTCAACATTTACTTTAGTCACCTTTTCAGTATGAAAAAAATACATATCTCGTGGAAAGACCGACCAGAAACAGAAAAAAAACAGTATTAAAAGCTGTGCGCACTTACAAACTGCAATGTAAGCGAATCTCTCTCACCAACCAACCTCCTCCAGAGCCGCGCGAAATGCACCGGTTGGTAAGAATGACAATTATTTATTAACGTTAAAAATGTGATTCAAGCCACTCAGTAAGTGGGAAAATCGTACGTTTTAACGGATGTGCTTCTTAAACAAACGTTCATAACTGTCAAACCAGTGTGCGTTTTGTGGAACAGTAAGTTGTCGCGTGCTCGAGCGCGCGTAAGTTACCCTCAATACTCAAGCTGTTTGTGTGCGACATATTACTTTATAAAACACATGTTGAGCAGCATCAAGCGTGGTCTGTTCAAGAGTGAATTAAAATAAACTTCCTAAAGTAGAAAAGCGCACTCTTTACCATTCCTGCGACACCGCGTCCGATTAACTGTTATAAGTCAAATGAGAGTAGCCAGTAGGTTAACGTTACTCCTGTGTATAACTATGTGAGGTTGATAGGTGTAGCAACCGCACAAAGATATTGAATCTCTAATAAATTAATATTTTTCTCACCTGTGTGGTTGAAAGAAGCTTCTGAATGTTTTCTGCGTTTCTGCTGCGCTATTTTCGCTATGCCGTCCGATTATTCTCTTGATAAATTTACATTGCAGTGCTCTTTTGGGTTTGCAAACAACCAAGACTCCGACGGATCTATAAATTTACCGTAATGTCACACATACACAATATCAGCGCAGCTCTGTCTACCGTAAAAGACACATCGCGCTCGTGTACACGTGACAGACAGATTGCTCACAGAAATACGAATGAACGGAGCCTCTGCTGCTATAAGACAGTGGCTAAGCATAATACTAGCATTCTATTAATATTTCTGAAATATCTCTATAGCTTTACAGTCTGAGAAGTGGTTTTGTTACGATTTTTATAGCTGAAAGAAGATTTTAAAATAGTGTTGACTTTTAAACAAGGATGAGTGAGGGGAAACAAATATTGAAGGATTAAATCCTTTAAAGGGGTCCTATTATGCTCTTTTACAAAGTCTTGATTTTGTTTTGGGGGTGTACTAGAACATGCTCTCATGCTTGGTGGTTCGAAAAACGCATTATTTTTCACATAGTTTACATTATTAAAATACCTTTCTCCCCATCCTGGCACAAACGGCTCGATTAGTTCTGGGTTTTAATGAAGGCCCGCCTTTCGAAAAAAACGAAATGTGTTGTGATTGGTTAGCTGTCCCAGTGCGTTGTGATTGGCGAACAGCTTAGACGGTGTTTCTGTACTGCCACGCCCCTTGCTCGTCTTTCAACAATAACTTTTGGTGAATCCGACACTGTCCTCCCTCTTGTTGTGGAAGCTGTCATCAGTAAAATGCGCAGCACACAATAGCAAATTGGGGTTTTAATGCTCAGGAACAGAGTTAAAAAATAAATTGCAACCACTGTTTCCTGACATCATCCGCTTTCGGAAGCCAAAACAAAGACGTTTGGGCACGGAGGTGAAAAAAAACAGCGTTTCAGGCGGTCGCACACCGGACGAGAAGCGGGGATTTTTTAAAAACGAAATATCTCCCTTTGGAGTGGACTTTGAGATTTGTAACTTTCTAGATCTTTTTTATGCCCAAACATACACGCTACACACTGACTAAAATTAAAAAAGCATAATAGGACCCCTTTAAAACACATGGTCGACCAGTGATCACAATATTTTGAGGGGAAAGTGTCCGTTTTGATGTCTACAGTGGTTGTAGCACTGCTTCCAAATGTATTTCAGACACCTTCATAAATGTGAGTGTTGATATTAAGATATTATGGTGCAGAAGTGTCATACGTTTAGGCAACAAAAAGCTTGTCTACTGCTATTAGAGAGGCAATCATGCAATCAAATTGTTTCTTCAAAGATGGCAAAGAGGTGAATGTGGTTAATCTGTACATATTGATCTGAAGATAACTGATGGTTTCAAGTGAGGAGTAGGTGCCATAATGATCTGTTCATCTAAATAACCTTGTGTCTAAAATACCTCAGTCTGATAGCTTACTTGCTATTTGCGATTAAACAAATATACACATAAGAATTGTTTCAGCTGTGATACCGTAGTAAGAAAATCTTCCACGGGAGAGTAAAAGCATGCATTGGCTGTATAGTTTGGACATGAAAGCAGCCCACATAGTATTCTGAAGTAATCTCATGAAACACCAACCCACACACTCTTTAAACAGAAATGTCTTGCCAACATAATGTTTAATATTTAAACATCAGTATACAGTAGCAAAAAGGGTACTCGCACTCAGCTTTCAATGTCCTTGTTTTCCCAGTGAGGCATGAACTTGAATAATATTATATAAGCATGCCTCTATCATTGTGAGTTCTACTGATCAGCGTTTGTGAGTTTTTTACCCAAGAGTTCTTGTAAAAATGTACTGTTTGCTAGCAAGAGCATGTTGGAAAAAGATTATGATATGAAAATAGACATAGTTTACTTAACGGTAAAACACTTTTCCTCCAACTGAGACATTCCTAGAAACAATTTGACCCTATTTAACTTTTGAATCTATTTAAGGGAAGGAATGAAATGTCCCCGCAGCTCAGTATTGAAAAAATGTGATCAAAATGCCAAAATCTGTCCTGTGTCTGTCCTGTTAGTAATAAGTGGCCGGCTACATGTTACCCAGTCTCTCTTGGTTTTGATTTCATGTCATAACTAAGGTTTCCAGTCTGTGTTGACTCATTCATTACTCAGGGCAATTAAAATGATTATGAGGATCATAAGACTTTAATGAGAACAGTAATTTGCACATTCAGTTCAGTGTGCTTCTTCCCACAAGAGCTGGATTACTGAATAGTGCAGTGTTGAGGGCCATTACATTTAAATGCCTATTGGTTTGTATTGTGAAACAAATTGCAGAGACAATTATGAAGTAATTTATTAGACACCTAAAGGAAGAACATTTTATCAATCTGAGCTGCGAATTTCATCTCAGGATGAATTTTTGCAGCATTGAGACTAATCAAAGTATTCCGTTTTCAGCCTGCTACTCGAAACAATAGCTTCTTTTTCCAAAGTACAGTTTAATTTATTTTGGATTTTGATTGACACATTGGATTTTGCATCAAGATAAATCACGACATTAGTCTGCTATACTGGAAACCAGACCTTATTTTCATGAAGTACAGTTGAGTTTCTATGACTGTCCTTAAAATAGGCATATAAAAGCTGTGTGAATGCAGCATTCATATACTAATTAGATATGATTCATCAGACCTCTAATAACAATTTCAAGGCTTTTCACTTCATGTAATTCAACTTTGGGTACACAGTAGTTAATCAGATTGTCAAGATGTCTGTCAGCGGAAAAAAAAAAGAATCAGGCATTTTACAGACAGCATAAAATTCCAAGATAATTCCACATAATTTTTTGCAATAGTCTTGGAAAAAAGACCTTTGTAAGAAATGATATCAATAGTTTCCTTTGATGAAAACTGCTCCAACTAGCTCTGAAAAAAAAAACTGAAAAAGAGGACAAGTGTTAAATGTGTTGATACTGCGGTTGTTAAAAAGGCACATTACAAATCTGAGTGAAAATAAACAATATTCATTACTCATGCAAAATCTTTGCATCTCTCTAAGGATAGAGGCATTTATAAATGTCAGACGCAGGCTTTTGAGAATAAGAGGATGTGAATATCAATGCAGTCTCACAGCCCTTCATCGCATCTTTGCTGTGTAACTGCTCCAATGTTGTTTTTTCAAGAGCACTGCATTGCAGCGATGAAATCCTGACTGTTTTATTCTAGCATGCACTGCAACATTCATTCACAATGTTATATCAAACATAGTTATAGTTATTCTGTGTGTAAATGGAGTGTACAGAGAGTTGAGTCTTACATTTTTCTGCACACTGAAAAGCAGCTGAATTTTAGCTTGTGCATGAACAAGAGCTTGGGCACGAAAGGAAAGCATAATAATTCAACAGGACTAACAAGACTGCAGAAAGTAAATGTTTAATTCTACCACCTACACACATCTGTATGGATTACCCATAGATTTGAGCTCAGAGATGCCAGTTAGATCTATCAGAACATGTCGAGAAGGAGCTTTGTTCATTTTGTTGCTCTGCTTTTAAGGATAGCATTGATCTGAGAGCAGTCATTAGAGAGGAGGGTGTTCCTTTACATTGACTAAACCTGAAAGGGGCAGCGAGATCCCTATAAAGCCTCGTGGCTTACAAACTTAGTCAACCCAGTCCAAAACTGAACAAACTGTAGGAAACTTTTTCCTCGTCGAAGCATAGACCAGGAGACGTTGGGATATCTTTCATACAGAAGTCACTCTTTATTGAGGACTCGCTGTGCGTCGCTGCAGTCATCCAAGTCTTACTAAGGCAGTGATACATTGTAGTTTATATACATTTAAGGGGGAGGGATACATTCAGTAGAGGTGGAGACAATCTAACCCATAGCAATCTAACCCATAGACACCGGCATATTCCCAGCCTTGATCTCATCAGCATAACAGTGTCATTCAAATGCATAGGTGCTAATCCAATCAGTCAGGAAGAGCATAAAGACAAAAGGTAATTATCTCAGACACCTGGGCTTCCTGATTTGATCTCCTTAGAAATGTCATCCTTTTTTACCTCAAAATGTAAAACACAATGTACATAACTTTTTTAGTATATATTCTATTACATTGGAACCTAGATTTAACATTTTATAAATTTGTAATTCCACAAAACATAACCTAATCATGATCAAATCAATGACACTGGCTGTTATTGTGCACTATGCTGACTTTGTTTTAAACCCCTTTCAGTTCTCCACTCATCTGGAACTGACTGACTTACAGTAATTCAATATTATACTGGCCTGAGATGAGCTAATGTTAGCTTTGGGTTTGGTAATAACATTACAGACATGATAAACATTACAAGAACACACTGGGAAAAAATGGTGTACTTTAAAACAATATTCACTCAGGAATTGCTAGTAAAATTCACAAATAATTACAAAGAAACAAGTAAAACACTGAATTACATGAAAAGACTGATCGAAACAGTATTTTCTTGTAACTCCAAAACTCTTTGTTTTATTTACACTTTTTTTTTTTTTACAGTGTGCATCCTGAGAGCCAAATGAATAATAGTCTTATCAGGCTTTTAAATGCACCTGATACTGATATTTAAAGGGGTCATTCACCCAAAAATGAAAATTTTGTTTTCATTTCATCATCATCATGATGTCATTAGACCCCAATGACTTTCATTGTATGGATAAAAACATAAAAAATATCTTCTTTTATGAAAGTGAGTAAATGAGTAAACTGATAAATGCAATTTCCTGTTTTGTGTTTTGCCATATTTGATTTTAATTTGTGTATTGAAAATGTAGACAGCCACTTTCAAGTTGTGCGAAACTAAGCCAGTTATAAACTTGCCTTTCATACACACAAACTCTGCTCTTCACAAAATTGCTGAGTGAAGCCGCTAATGAATTCTTCCAGTCAAAAGAAAAAAACCTGGTTTGTTATCATAAATTATGACAGTATTATGACAGCACCAGGGCTTTAAAGAAAGTTTGTACAGCCTTCAATGTGACAGAAATCATGTTTAAATGCTGAAAGAACTTCAAATAGACTTTGAATAGCATTAGTAGCTTTTCAGGTTCACAAGTGAAAATGAAAAGCTCTGAAGCTTATAAATGACTACATAACTCAAGATCAAATGGTACAATAAAAAGCACTAAAGCATTGTGTGGCAATAAATCAACTTTTGATAAGTCATGAGAGTGCAGCTACTCTCGGCTCCTTGATACAGTATGTTTAGACAACTTTTGGATTATAACTCCACACTGTAAAAAATGACCGTGAATTTAACGGTAAAAGACTGTAAAAATGCTACAGTAAAAACCTGTTAAAAAAGTGAAAAAGCATAATAGGACCCCTTTAAGTTCATGCCTCACTGGGAAAACGAGGACATTGAAAGCTAAGTGTTTTTTCCTCCTTTTGCTATATATTGACTTTTAAATATTAAACACTATGTTGGCAAGACATTTCTGTTTAAAGTGTGTGGGTTGGTGTCTCATGAGATTACTTCAGAATTCTACGTAGACTGCTTTCATGTCCAAACTATACACCCCATGCTTTATTCTCCCTTGGAAGATTTTCATACCACGGAGTCAACAGCATAAATATTCAGGGGTAGATAAGGTACAAAGTTGTTCTTTAAGGGTTCTGCCTCAGTGACAAGCTATTATACTCCAACGGTACAATTTTTGCACATTTTATCTGATAGTGTACCAGGTTACATACAAGTACCATGACATATTGGCATTTAATTAAGGTTTAGGTTTTATTTAGGTCAAGCTTGCCAGACAATTATTATTTACAGTTTGCAAATGCACTGAAGACTTAAGTCAAGGATAAAACTCATTGGTATATTGAGGTTTTAAACATTCATCTATTTGAATGACTAACTGCAGCTATAATGAGGTTGTATTTGAGCATATGTGGTCTCTTTTCGCTAAACTTACACACAATTTATTTTATAATATTGCGGAAATAATTCATTAAATAATTGTGAAGATGGTATTTTTAACACAAAATTCTGCATCTTATTTGCTAGCAGCACCATTTAACTAATTGCACTGAAATTGTGCAGAACTGTATTTAAATTAAGTCACTGTCAATCTTTTCAGCACAAACACAGCTAATTTATTATGTAAAATGATTTATGTAAATTTAACTCATTACAGATTGCACCTTAGTCACCAAAATCAGAACTATTTGTCCAGTACAATTAATGTTGTGCTATTGCCAGCCATGGGAAAGATAACAATTTCAATTTAAAATTTCAGTGGAAGTAGAGTGATCTCTCTTTTTTACGTATTGTGATGAGTAAAACAAAAAACCTGAGTTAAAAAAATAAAAATAGGGTTCTACCCACTGTTTGTTGATCGGATAGAGACAAATCTGAATATGAGGTTGTAGTCAATTTTAAGTAAGAGGTGGACTTTAAGCAGTTCACAATAAAAAATGCGGACTTTAAAAACTTTTGTGCATTTTTTATTGATTATTGCAGCAGTAATTAATCAAATAATGAGCACATGATGGAGAAGAATGTTAAAGGGGTCATATGACGTTATTAAAAAGAACATTATGTTGTGTATTTGGTGTAATGCAATGTGTTTATGCGGTTTATGGTTCAAAAAACACATTATTTTCCACATAATGTACATTATTGTTGCTCCTCTATGCCCCGCCTTTCTGAAACGCTTAAATTTTTACAAAGCTTATCGTTCTGAAAAGCGAGGTGTACGCTGATTGGCCAGCTATCCAGTGCATTGTGATTGGCTGAATACCTCAAGCGTGTGACTGAAATATTACGCCCCTTAACATACTGTGATGCCCTGTCCTGGCGCGACGAGACAAAACCAATAAAACCCATTACAAAAGAGGCATTTGTTGCATCCAGTGGGGACATAATTACGGATTATAATGACTTATACTGTCTTTTAACGCGTTGCGTTGCGTATCACGCCGCGTAAACATAAAACCATGTCTGCATTTGTGATCAGAGAAACGACAAACAACAAGCGCTACTCTACACTGCTCAAAACTCGCGTTTGAATCATCAGTGGCAAATCCTTGAGGAAAATTTGAAATGGCATCATATGACCCCTTTAAAACTGGGCAAATGTCCCATATTTGGGCATATTTTGACAATTTTGAAACTAAAAAGCAGTAAAAACTTGTTGAAAATAAAATAATGTTTGTGTGATTTAGCAATGAGGTTAAAAGGTTTGAAAACATGTGACACTCTCTCCATGCTGTCACTTTAGATGCAAAGTCTCACATTAGCCTGAGCGTTAAAATGCCCTGGTGTTCCCACTCTGTCGAGACCGTCCTTACATCTTAATACCCAGGTCACGAATCCATTCAGTCCAAGAAATGTCAGGTTTTTACTGTAAGCCTTTAACACCTGACATTTTTATTGCAGGTAAAAAAAGATTCCTTTTAGGCCAGCGTTGAAAAAATCTCTGAAAGGAAACTCAAAAAGGCCAAGAGTGTCAGCGCACAGTGGGGGATACTGAATGTCATTGTCTGCCAGAATCATCTTGTCCATCAAGTTCTCACACATCTGATGGAACTCAAGCATCAATATATTCATTGCTGCAGGAATCACTGTCACTTATTACATAGTTGTGATGGTGTTTGTTTGACTTTTACAACTTACTTTTGCTCAAAGATCAATTTATCCATGGTTCTGCATTTAGATTGGTGCCTGTGAGTGTGTGTACACGTTTATGCTTGAAACTTCTCAACGTTTTCCAATAAAGTACAGTAGGATGAAACCAATGAAATTTTAAGAGCTTTTTACACTGCACTTAAAGGGATAGTTCACCCAAAAATGAAAATTATGTAATAATTTCCTCACCCTCATGTCGTTCCAAACCTGTATGAGTTTCTTTCTTATGTTGAACAAAGAGTTTGGTTCCAAAACGCGATAAATGCCTTTTTTTTTTTTTATGAGTTTCCGCTAAAATCAGTATTGTATCTGGTCAGTATTGAAAAGTCAATTTTTTATTTTACGCAAAATGCGATATCCGCCGAGTTATTCTGTCATGTTTTCTCCCTTTCTTTCCAAACCGCGACAAACGCCAGTCTCCCTTCTCTGCAGAATGCGATATATCTGCTCAACCAATCACAGCGCACCATTCCATGCACTCTAGACAGTAATGGCGGCGCTTTGAATACACCCGGCATCCTAGTTTTCCTCATCTACTTTGTACTTTGTGATCAACAAACAAACTCGCAGATGAGTCGCATTCGATTATGAACGTGATATTGCGTAGCTTGTCAGTGTAAGTGTTTTTATTTATGCCATTAATGTTTTTGTTAATACAGCGTATAGCACTAGTCAACTAAATGAATGTAACATGGCAAAGATGAATGCACTTTTGGAAGTTGAATGTAAGGGAAATGTCATTTTGGAATTTCTGTGGTTTAATGTGATATTGTTGTTCATGTATGTTCATGATGAAATTTTCTTTTATTGTTGTAATTAATTTATAGCATTAACAAGATGACCTGTTGAATTCATTTTGGGAGCGATGACTGATTTTTAGACTGAATGTATTTTTAGTCCAGTGCCTGCATATAAGATTAGTATTGACCAAGTTCAGAGGCTGTCATATGTGGATTAACCATGTTGTGTAGTTTCAATATGAAAAATAAATTCAATTTTATAATAAATCTTTGAAAATCAAAATCTGGATTTGAATTTTTAATGTTATTATAACCTAAAGATGCTATGTGAAAGTTTGAAACAGAAAATAGTGGTTTTCATCTTGCCACTTTCTTGGTAAAGAAAAACAAATTTTTACTCAAATTAATCAAAATGGATTTATAGCGTTTTGGAACCAAACTCTTCATATTTTGAAGAATGCTGGTAATCAAACAGTTGATGGTCCCCATTGACTTCCATAGTATATCTTTCCTTACAATGGAAGTCAATGAGGACCTACAGGATTCTACATGATAGATTCTACATGATAGAATTTTCATTTTTGGGTGAACTATTCCTTTAACCCTGGCTTATCATCATTCTGAATGCTGAAGCTGTGGCGCAATGTTTTGCAGTATTACTTTGCTTTTGCAGTGTTAAATATAGAAGTTGTTTCCACCATAGGATAAAAAATTCAAAAGGTAATTGCGA